GTTATATATTGTATTATTGTTTCATATTGAAAAATATGTCAAAAAAGTTCACTAATTTCTGTGAAAATAAAAATATCTGCTGAGTTTTATTTTTTGTTAATCATAATGCAACATTGTGCCCTAATGTGTAATTTCTTTTGATTTCCTCTAGATGGCACTGTTTGTCTCTTTCAGAAAAAGCAGACGTGTCAAAAAACAGTCCACTTAAGTGTGAAATAAGAGTAATAATACAGTATTACTGACCATTATTTGCTCCAACATTCTTTTATGATGTTGTTTTAGAATAAAATGAAGATCTTTATCAACAGTAGTATTTCTGTCTTAACCTTGAGATAGGACATAAAAACTAATGAGGTCATTAGTTTATGTCCTGAAGAGGCTGACTCTGCTTTCAAATGTCCTTCCCAAAAACACTGAGTCACAGCACAGTCAGACAAACTAATTGGCATCATGTTTTTGCTAATATAAGAAGAAAGTTCCCCAAATTACTGATAAAATAAATCATATTTAAACATGTAAAGCTGAAATACAAAGGTCAAAAATGACCAAACTGTTTCTGAACGATCAATATTTAGATTTTTTTCTTATTATCCTGTTTTTTTTTTTATGTCAGTGAGGCCACAGACAGCGTGGCAGTGATGTGAACCCACCGCACCCTCAGGCTGCTTGCAGTCATTTCCTTTCTGGCCTTGCTCTGTGTGCCGTCTCAGCTCAGGCCTGGATATCCCTGTTTGGATTTCAGCGCTGAGTAACTCTGACCACGGACGATTTGTGTCTGGTTGTCAGCCTCAGTGGAGCCACGGGTTTTTCCTCTTCCTTCCTCAAACAACACTCAAAGTGAAACTCACCATTTGCAAACCAAAGTCACTTTGATAACTGTTGCTGTTTGCATGTTAGCTTTTTGAAACTGCGGATATGTAAAGTTTAACTTTGTTTTGTTGATTGTTTTTAATGCAATGCTTTTAAAAGCAATTTTAAAAGGATTTTGCACACTTCTGAAGTCAATATTTTACTCTGAAGAAAAAATCCTAAATATTTCTCTTTTTTGTAATTCAAAATGACGTTTATTTAAACACAGAATTGCGTTTTTTTGTGCAGTTGGCTCTTTTCAAAGGAGAAAAAAGATAAATGTTAGAGAATAACAGTTTCAGCTCATTACAAATGGAAGTCTTAAAGTCAGAGACCAGAGAAAATTCARCAGATAAGGTTTTTCTCTCTCGCAGACTAATCCTAATTCAATTCTTTGAAAATGGCTCAACTATCAAACATTTCTGRTACTGAACCTTTTCTGTTATAAAAGACACTCTGTATATCTGCTGAATATGATTACTGAGTTGTGATAMATTTTAAAAGTCCCTCTGAAAGCCGTCACGCTGTCCAACTTTGAACAAAGTTTAGTCTGTCAAACTCTGATTTATRGTTGTTGTTTTTTAATCTATATGTTAAGCACTGTGACATGCAGKATGATCCAAGCAGATGTTTTTTTTTATTCTTTCTTTAACAGGATTATCCAAGATTAAACTCACAGAACTAAGTTTAGGTTTAGCTTATACGGAATTCAAAATATGTTAAACTTGTTATAATGACCTTCAGAGTGTCCATGCATCTTTAAACAATAGCTTTTGCATTTACATGTATACATTTTATATCATTAGGGTTGGGCATCCTTTGAATTTGAATGATTCCTGTTCCTCATTTGGATTCGGTTCCCAAAGATTCCCATTTTTGATTCTTTTTAGAGGCAGGTAAAAAAAATCACATAGCTTAAATGAGATGGCTAACCAGAGTTATTTCTAGATGAACAGATGTTGTGAATTTATTCATTTTTTTCCTCATTTCAAGTCTAACCAAGCGCAACTGTCTTACTGCACTGGCAGATTATATCACTTAATTTGACAATTTSAGTCTGAACTCAAATTGGTGTCCGGCGGCTCACCTGGATTTTTCTCTTTGTTGGCGTTGGGGGGGCTTCTTCCAGTTGGCGGACTGGGTTTTTATCGAAACTTAAAAGTACGAACGATTCCAGGAGAATTGAAACATAAGTCCCGGTTCTAATTGATACTCAATGCCCAACTATATTCTATCACTCGTTTTATTTCCATATTAACATTATGAGGGAGGGACTCAGAGTRGAGCCGCTGCTCCTCCACATCGAGAGGAGCCAGTTGAGGTGGCTCGGGCATCTGGTTAGGATGCCTCCTGGTCGCCTCCCTGGTGAGGTGTTCCGGGCACGTCCCACTGTGCGGAGGCCCAGAGGAAGACCGCTGGAGGGACTATGTTTCTCMGCTGGCCTGGGAATGTCRTGGGATTCCCCCGGAGGAGCTGYCCTGAGGGGAAAGGGAAATCTAGGCTGCTGCCCCCRCGACCTGACCCTGGATAAGTGGAAGAAAATGGAYGGATGGATTAATATTATGACAATGTGAAAACCAATAACACAATATGAAATACATTGTGTTACCACATAACTATAAATCTTCTGTAAATGAATGTATTTATAGAGATGTCTAAGTCTTTGCTTATTCACAGTTTTTGCCTGTCATACAGAAATAGGCATATAACTGATATCCTTAGATAAGCAGATGTTTCTTCTGACCAAAGCAATCATCTCACCAAAGAAAAGTAATCTATACGTATGTATCATGCTTCAGTTTTTGCAAACTCATACGCTGAATGATGTACAGTGTAGTAACTGTGTTTTGTGTGACTCACAGCCTTTATTTAGCTCATTAGGGACGACCAACCAGGTCCCGACAGTTTTGACTTTAAATAGATGAGTCAGGAATGAAGTGCTCAAGGAATGTTTGGTATTTATCCCTCTTTGGGCTGTTCACACCTACAACTACTGACTGGTTGTGTCAGTCTGAAGTTGTAAGTTTGACAAAGTGGGGCTTTGTAGATTGTTTTGTTTTCGTTCTTAAGGTCATCACTTAGAAATAGTTTCTAAAAAATAGCACTTAAAAAACAATTCACAATTCCATCCGCTGTTTGATTAAATGCAGGATCAAAGGATCAGTGTGTTATCTTTAGCAGACATTGTGCACAAGAGTTGGGTTTCACCACAAATCACCAGTTTATCACAGATAAAACAAGATGCAGAACCACAGTATCTAACTTGAGTGTACATGCATTTGTACCATTTGAAATTCCTTCAAAAATCTTGCTTTATCTGATGCAAACTGCACAAACTGGCAGTTCCACATCGGACCTTATAGCTCTATTAAACTTGCATGCAGAACATACAAAATAACCATACATAATCCAAAAAAAGTCATAATCAGCAAAGAAACTAATTAGACTGTTTTATAACACTGACATTAAAATAAGAAAAGAAAGAAAAAAAACCATCTGTAATGTGATTTCATTTTCCACCCAGGTGGTTTATTGTCAGCAAATGTCAGAATCATAAAGTAATCATCCTCAGTGGTCTCATTCTGAGTCTCCTTCATGCTCGTCACGCTGCTCTTCTCCGCTCATAACATCTCTAAAAATAGAAAGAGACATATTCAGCCCACAACGGTTTGAATGCCCTATATATCTGTGAAAGCAGATGTTCAAGATTCCAGTCAACGGCGATGCTTCGCCCGACATATTTATTTATATATTTCTTGGTGCGCTCACCCGCGTTCATCTGACTTCATGGCTTCAGACGTTGCTCCTCGAGTTTTTCTTCTTCAGCTAATCAGGTAAGGTTTCATCCTTGTCCATGTCTTCAAAAAACACCCAGGGAACCTGTACCTTTATATAAACTGAGACACTTTAATGTAATATTTATTTACAAGAATGTATAGAAATAAATAACGACATAAAACTTTAACATACTAAGTGAAGCAGTACTGTCAAAGCAGATTTTAGAAGTTGTATATATCGCCATCTTCTTCTTCTTCTGCTTATCTGTAGTCAGGTCGTGGAGGCAAYAGGTCCAGGAGAGAAACCCAGACATCCCTCTCCCCAGCGACACTTTCCAGCTCGTCCTGGAGGACCCCAAGGCGTTATCAGGCCAGAGAGGATACATAATGCTTCCAGCGAGTCCTGGGTATTGCCCAGG